AGAATGTACTGTTTCCACTGTCAAAATCATTAACTATGTTATTTAATAAATCACTAACAGAGAAGGTTTTTTCCAGGCAGGTGGAAAGTAGCTCATGTATTACCTCTTTTTAAAAAAGATGATCCTTCGTTAGTGTCTAACTATAGACCTGTTTCTTTGTTAAGTTGTGTTAGCAAAATTATGGAGAAAATTGTTTTCAAACACATTTACAATCATTTTCATTGTGATAATTATTCTATCGATATTAAGCTGGTTTTTTACCTGGACACTCTACAGTGTACCAACTTTTAGAAACTTAAAATAATGTTGTACAAAGTATAGATGAAGGCAAATCGTGTAGTATGGTTTTTTGCGATCTTTCTAAAGCATTTGACAGAGTATGGCACAAGAGTCTTCTTTCCAAATTACAAACATATGGAATATCCAGCGATCTTTTACTATGGATTACAAGTTACTTGAGAAAAAGATCACAAAGAGTTATGCATAAGGATTTGTTTTCATCCATTTTCAATGTATATGCAGGTGTGCCTCAAGGCTCAGTTCTAAGTCCTCTTATTTTTTATATGTTAATGATGTTGCTGAAAATATGCCATCAAAGTGTAGAGACTATTTGCTGATGATAATTCAATGCAACATGCTTCATTTAATTCATTAGATACAGAATATAGGTTAAACCATGATCTTGATGTTTTTGATAAATGGTCAAGCAAATGGCTCTTAAGTTTTAATCCATCAAAAACAAAGGTTGTATTTTTTTTCCATTAAAAATAGATCCGTTTTACCTTATTTGTTTTTTCAGGGCAATGCACTGGAATTGCATCACATAGAATTATTTTATTTTCTAATTTGGCACCATACAACATTAAATACAAAATGTGCAAAATCAAAACTTCATTGAGATATAAAATTGAATCGATTCTTGAAAGATGTGTTTGTTATAGAGGGTCTCTACGAAGTAACATTGAATGTCGCACATTGTCCAAAAACTAATAAAATTTAATCTAATTATTATGGTACAACTGTGGTTGGATAAATCATATGTGTTTAGTCATTAAATAGAGACATATTGAAAATTAAAGGATTTTTATCAAATGTGCATCTCTTCAAAAAGTTACTAGTATATGCCAAAATAATTTCAATATTATGGTGCAGGGATGGGCACGATTACTGAAAAATGTAATTGATTAATAATCGATTACTTAGAGGAATTTTGTGTAATCGATTATTAATCGATTACACTCATTTTCGTCCTGTAATCGATTGTAATCGATTACTTTGGAAGATGTAATCGATTAATAATCGATTACTTCCAAGTTTTTATCCCTTCAAATATCAAAGCAATATTTAAATGGTAAATGTTGATGTTATCCACTGAAGTTTGAATGTGTTCCTGCAGTTTCAGTGCAGATTCTTTTAAGGTTTTATTCTGGCTAACATTCTCACTAAATGCCCAAATGAGAGATTCTCTACCATGGAAAGTGGAGACATGATTCCTACGATAAAATATGCCAAGGAATTAATTATTCCTTTCAACCTTGGATCGGAACCTCCATATTTATTGACTTGTTGCAAAAATTATTTCATATTTTATTGTGAATTACTATATTAGAAGTATTTGGGCTGCCCTTATGTTGACAGTACTCATTAAACATTCCTGTACGTGTCTTTTTCAAAAAATTAAGTAAATTAGAACTCTTAGTAGTAAACATGTAAATTAAATGTGTCTTTAAGTAATTCAACTAATAGCACAATTTCATTCTGTACTGAAATAAGTGTTTTGAGAGCTATTAATTGTTTTAATAATATTGTTTGTCTTCAATGGAACTATCAATTATAAAAGTTCAACACTAGGTAGTTCACAGTTTACACCTCATTATCTGCAAGTCAGGGATGTCTCAGTCAATTAATTAGCCAATTAAGATAAGCAAACACAGTGACACACTTCCTCTCTTACAGAAACTTTTAACCTCTCACTGATATAAAAGCAACCTTACAATTTTGAATGAAAACATGAAATGATTTTGCAAATTTTAAAGTTACTAAAACACAAGTTTGAAGTTGTTTAAACATTTTCAGATATGAATAAGTATTTCCATCTTTTTTTTCAAGTACAATGTAGTTTATTTAACAAATTATTTATATTCAATCCAGCACTTTTATATGTTTTTGTTATTCATAATTTTCTATTACAAGACAAAGTTTTTCAACATCTGAAACATGAAAAAGGACATGCAGCAAGAGGACAGTGGGTCAAATGTAAAATGCACAGGAAAAATATGTATATTTTATTAATAAATGGTTGAAATACACTTCTGAATTATTTAATACTAGACCAGTAGGTCTATAATGCAAATTTTATTGAGAACATTATTTAACTTATGATAATTAAACTTATTAAAGTTAGGAAATCCAAACATTACACTAGGTGGTTTTATAATATTTGATATTTATGTGTGACTGAATGGAAATAATTCTCCAAAATAAGATCCATTTATGTATAAAATAATCGAAAGTAATCGAAAAAGTAATTATAATTACATTGAAAATTTTAGCTATAATCGATTAAATTACGATTACAAGTAATCGAAAATCTCTTCGATTACAGATTACTGTCGATTACTTGAAAAAAAGTAATCATTACAATCGATTACGATTACTCGATTACGATTACCCCATCCCTGTTATGGTGACAAAATCCTAACAAAAAATTAATGTTAGCATGTTATGTCACAGACGTAAAAACAAAGCATTTTGACGTTATTACATGCACTTGCATAAAATATCATCTAAAACGTCAAAACCTCCAACTCTTTTTGCTGATATGGATGAAATAAAAATGTACCAATAACGATTAATCTTAAGAATTATTCAAAGTTCTGACAGGTGTATGTATATATAAAAGCAAAACATGTACAGTGTAATATACTGTATCAGTATATATCCTTGTCAAAATCTGTCCAAAAGTACTCATCACCCGCAGTTCGAATTTTAGGGGAAAAAAAACAACAACACATATTCCAAAATTTTTAGAATTATTATTTCCTGTCAGTAATGTGTGTCAACTCTATTTGATGCCGGCAAACCATACTACATGGGGCGTTGGATGGCATTTTACATTGGGTAGTCGAATATTGAATCAAGGTTGAGGTGGGGGGGGGGGGTATAGTTGGAGGTTGTGATTTGACTTAAATTTCAGACTTTCACTAGCATATTGATAATGATTTCTTTTTGTCATCAACCCGGTAGCATCATTTGAAATAATGCTTCCAAATGCTAAATCTAAAACGACCAAAATGGCAACAATTTATTTAAACAAATTGTAGTTTAGGGAAAGGATACTCCCTCTATACAATGCCCTGTACAGCCTTTCCAGAAACCCACGAACAGACCCACAGACCTCTGATGATCACGCACGGAACACCTTGGCCGATTCGTACATGTACCTCATCTAATTTGATAATTTGATCTAGTAGTTTGATGAACGGCGGAATCATCCGAGGTTTGCCGAATGGACCTCATAATAATTTATCCACGGAAACAGTGTAAACTAGATATAAGTATCAATAAGCATCATTTATCATGATGTGTATTGATACGTATAACTTTCCATTTTTGTTCTATAAAAAGTTTTTAAAACATAACTTTTTAAAATATCATTGCAATATTGACAGGTGTAAATGTATTCTGCCATCTACAAATACAACTCACATGAATTATAAAGATTGATGAAAAGAAACAAATTACATTTAGTAAAGCAGGAAATGACGTAGATATTTTTTAATCTTTTTCATTCGTATAAAAAAAGAAGGTATATTATATATATATATATATATATATATATATATATATATATATATATATATATATATATATATATATATATATATATATATATATATATATATATATATATATATACTTCTAATTAATGTTCTGAATTTGTTTAGACAGATTTTATGGAATCCAAGCAGTTTTAACTGACGAAAAAGTTCACTACCTCACAGGTTTTCACATTTCCTTAACATGCAAAAGTTTATAACTATCCAGTATAAAAGTTAATACATGTAGTACATTTGTAGATGTACGTATTTAGAATGGCCAGTATACAAACAATCAATGTTTAAGCCACCATTTGTTTTAAGTTAGTTTAAAATGTGGACAGGATTTTGTCAATTAAAAAAAATAACGTAAATAAAACATACCTTTACATTTTTAAGAGTGATATATTATATTTTCTTTGTTTTCTCTACCCAGGAAAATGAACAAAGAATGATAAATTATATGTCCCTTTTTTTCTCTACCTAGAAATGAGCAATGACGGATAGAAACCGTACAGTTGTTACCAGATACAAGAAATCCGTGTGGTATATATTTCTCTTTTACTTTATACACATGTAACTGTGTCAAAACACACTGTAGATTTAACCTATCTATAGGGCGTGACATATTGGAAAATGTTTATTAAATACTGAAATATAAATTAATATTTGAAGAAAACAGTTTATGAACATTAAAAGTGTTTTGAACATTATAAAGCTGAAACACTAGACTGTAGATATAGTGTAATAGAATGTAGTGTTTCAAACTATCTTATGATCTATTAAATTTTTTTTTTTTTTTTTTTTTTTTTTTTGTTTTGTTTTTTGTAATTTATATATATGTTTTCATTTGATAATATTGACTTGTTAGACAGGTTTTATTCTGAACACTTGGTTGCTGTTAATTCACTGAATCATTGAAAGGTCACACCAACCATTGCAAAGGTAAGTAAATTTATATGAAACTAAACTGTTTTCAATGCTCCAGTTTTTTATCAACCAAATCCTTGGTACATAAATAAATTTTGGATAGATACCAATTATATTGATTCAGATATTTGTGATTATAGTACATTGTTGTAATTTACAGAGAAATCTCCCCGACTGAGGAAATCAACATATGATTTTGTTAGATAAGCCACTGGAAAAGGACAATTAAGAAGTAAATGTCTGCTATAAATTATGTATAGAGCAGTGTTACGGAAATCTGTCAAAGTGAGGGGTGTTAGTGAGGGTCGTCACATTTCCCGTGTGTCACCAGACTGGGTCTGGATTAGTGATTGGAACAATCTTATCTTGACAAACACAGCAGGTGATGAACTACATTGTCTTTCAGATATAGGTAGTTATCACGGGGTCCACACTGTGAACAACGAGGGTGATTTATTTTATATAGACAGTGGGCATAACATCAACCAACTTTCTACAGATAACACAGTTAGGAATATATTTATAAAGTACACAGCACCATGGAGACCACTGTGTGTCTACAGCTCCCCCTCCACTGGAGACCTTCTGGTTGGAATGAGAAATACTGATACAAGGACAGGCAAAGTAAACCGTTACAATAACAAGGGACTTCAAATACAGACAATAAATAACAACATCATAGGTCAGGGACTATATAGTCTACCTATCTACATCACAGAGAACCACAATGGAGATGTAATCGTGTCTAACTGGGACTGTGTAGTGGTTACAGATCGTGAAGGTAGATTTCGCTTCTCCTACACAGGACCTCCATTAGGACCAGGACTATGGCCACGTGGATTAAGTACAGATGCGCTGTCACACATCCTGGTTTGTGATCATAGGACTGACTCGGTACAAATAATTGATAAGGACGGGCAATTCCTGTCATAGATACACACACCTCAACACAGGATATACAAACCGTGGAGCCTGAGTTATGATTGTGAAACTCAGCTTTTCTGGATTGGATCATTGAGCAACAACACAGTTAACTTATACAGAGTGATAAATGAGTACTCTATGACTGGTAAGTAATACCCTTGTATGATTATGTGTTTTGTTTAACAATATCTATGTATATATTATGATAAATAAAATTACATATTTATTGGGGAAGTCATCAATGAGTAAGTTTTCCTTGGTTTATGTGTACTTACAAACAATAATGAATAATTATTTTAATATTTTTCCCAGTGTGATTACATCAGTAATCTTGCATTTGAATTATTTCCCTTTCTGTTATCATGGTTATTACTTACACAGAGGGGAACGTAGCATGTGCGTAAGATAGGGTAGAGATTCAAATTCCGTTACTGCGACTTTGATTATTAAAAAAAATGATGTTGTGTCAGATACATACAGCGATGCCGGCACTGAATCGCAAGAAACTCGTATGTCCGTGTAAACCTAAATAGATGGAGCGGGCATGCCCACCCACCCCCTCCAAAATTTTGCCAGTATACATAGAGGATATTGAATGTTTTGTAGTTGGATATGGAATTCATTTCACGAGTGGAACAGGATTTTTTATATTTATATTTTCACGAGTGCAAAGCATATAAACCATGAAAAATATAAAACAATCCTGTGGGATTTTTTTTTCTAAAACTGAAAACTATAGACATATAAAGAGAGACAGACAACAACTGACAAAAAAAAAGTTTCCCTTATCCTAAAGAAATTCTTGTAAGTCTTTGCTAGATAGACGCAAGTACCCACGTATGAACCTTCTTATCAGGATAATGCCTGCCCTTTGACATCAAAACCTGGAAAGCATATCTGGTGGCACAATCTACCGCTTGTTTGGTGGCAAAAATATCTGCATTATCACCACAAACAAATCTTACGCTTCTGTATCAATCGGTGGAAGTGGTACATATTAAACCGCCCACAGTCAAGGTACCATCCACCTTATAATCAGCAAACTAAACAGTAAAGGTATTACCTTTGCTTCGTGACTGATGGAGGTCATCATATACCTGGGTTAGCCCAAGGCATGTCGAAATAGATCGAATATTTTTTCCCTGGCTGATGTGAACATTTTTTTTAACTCTACAACCACCACGTGTGTCGCCATGTTTTCAAATTTTGGCAAAACAAAACATCTATGTAACACTGATCACGAAAGAAAAAAAGAAAAATGCTTTAAGGAACTTTAATGCCTCTGGAACTTTAATTTATGGTACAAATTTTATAAATCGAACAAAAAAGGAAAATCCATATCTTCACAGGAAAAAGCATTTAAAAAATAGGGTCAGTCTGAAAAAAGGAAACATTTTTTTTTTAGACCAAACAAATGAAACATTTCATAGACGAAAATAATTACTGTAATGTTGATAAGTGTAATTTTGATATGCACCATGATGTTGTACATAGCACACGTGTGTTACATGTTATTGAAATTTTTACAATTCTTAAAAAGAAAAATACTTCTCAAAATTCCTTTTTTGTAACCATTGCAACACTATTCATAGAAATGAAAAAAAAATGAAACAAAGAATTGTACTCTACAGGTATACCAAGTTTTATTGAACTTAGACGTAAACTGTAGGCGGGGAAGCGATTTGAAAATTGCTTACGGACAATCAGACAACTGGAAAGCAAAAGCTAAAGACTTACGGATAAATGAAATCCATAAATTACAATATTTACATTTGGTATGTTTTTCTACTAAGCCAACTGTAAAATTGATTTGAAAGTCATTTTTGTGTATACTCACGCGTAGAAATATACACGGTGAAACTCGCGCTAAAGTGACGTCACAATGAGGCTACAGAGACGTTAATAAAAACGTAACGATATAGGGCAGCATGATATTCAAATATTGAGTATATTATTGGTGCTTTTAAACTTGAGAAATGTAAATACATGTATAAGGAATGTTTTTAAGTTTAGTGTGAATTATTGGTGTGTAAAACACACAGACTTGCACGTAGGCATATTTTTTCATGAAGCGCTAGCGCGCTTCATGAAATATGCCTACGTGACAAGTCTGTGTGATTTACACACCAATAACTCACACAAAACTTAAAAACATTCCTTAATTAACTCTTTTTATCAAATAAAACTGGCCGCTAGAGCTAAAAACTAATTCACTGTATGTGTTGTTTTAATAGTATCATTCGTTGCCATGGCAACCGTGATGTCATTCTACTCTGCAAAATTAAAAACTTTAAGATTTTACCTTCCAGAAATATGTAGGTTGCTTTGTGTAAAAAGTGACTAGAAAATGTCAAAAATTCTATTTGAAATTCATATTCAGTTTGGCAGAAAAAATGCAAAATCTATGGTAGTCGAATGGTTTAAACTGAACATGACTCGTAAAACATATAGATTTATCGTCCGCCGTATTTCTCCTATTTTGCATTTATGTCTTGGACCCTTATTTAGGCGTCAGACCTGATCCAGTTCAATGTATTTCGACATACGCAACGTAGTTTGAACTTAATTGTCTTTTTCCTTGGAGTTAAAGAGTTCCAATACTTAAAGGAACTGTGTGCTACATTTAATGTCTATATATGCTGTTGTAAACTTCTTCTAAAACAAGTTTGGATAGACAAAACATCTACGTTTAGAAGTTTTTATATATTTTTCTTTGAATTTAAAAGAATATTCATCAATTGATACCTTTTCAAAACCCCTGATAATGCATAAAGATTCTTTGTCTACGAACATCTGATGGTACTTTAATCTTAATTTAAGAAGACCTTGAAAAATTATCAGTAGGTAAGGTACGTTACGTATGTCCTTAACTGCTGTGAAGAGGAGACATGTATTTTCATTTTAATGAATTAGGGCTATAAAAACAGCCAAGCGGTTTGGGGCCCTAAGCTTTTTTTCTAAGTACTAAATAAATATGGATCTTGTGCTGAAATGTAAAGCAAATGATTCTTTTACATGTGTTTAGCGTGGCATGCGTTAATTATATAATCAAGTGATGATGATGACTTAATGCTATTTACTGTATGTTTTCGTCTGTTGTAGTGTATCGTTCCGAAACGTTTAAACATTTTCATCTTCTTCTCAGGAACTGCTTAACTAATTTCAACCAATTTCAAACTATTATATCTATTAGTGACGGACAACAAAAGAAGTGAATTCCATGCACCCTAGCTCACCCAGGAGTCTAAGGGTTGGACTCCAATGATCATATAGTAAAAATGTATAATTTCTTTTAACGTCTTTTTTTCTGTCACTGCTCTAAGGAGATAAACTAGGTGGAAAATTGAAAAAAATGTACCCCACGAGTCAAGAATTCTAAAAAAAAAAAAAAAAAGGTGGTCTCTTTTTTGATTTAATGGTAAAAATTACTTCTTTCTTTGAAAATCTTCTTCTCCTGCCCTGTATAGTAAGGAAACAAAGTGATTAGTAATAATTATCAATTTTGAGTGTTTTTCCTAAAGTTTTTGATTTGTGTGTTTCAAGAACGCTGGGTCAGGGAATCTGGTGTTATAGTAGAGCTGCATTAAATTTATAATGGAAATGTGTTAATGTAAACAATTACTTTCGGCTGTGTATTCATTGAAACGCCTTTGGTGGAAAGCAGCTTCCCCATATTCAAATTCAAGGCAGAATGTCTTGCACAGGTACATGAATGCATTAATAAGAACAATAAGAATTTCGCTAAATTACTTGTTCAAAAATCAATATCCGCCAAATATCGTACACGCTAAAAATAAACATTTATACAGTATTTCCGTAAAGATTAAAACAACTCTGGTCTTGGACATTATTGAGGCTAAAAAAGTAAGTTGCAATAAGCAAGGCTATTTTTACCAGACTTGTGAAATGCCGGATCACTTGGTTACCATCCCTTTGGTGGAAGGACTGTATTAGTTTGCAAGTTATACCTATTTCTATTCACCTTGCAACATAGGTTTATGTTTTAGTTTATTTCGTTTTTAATGCGACTTTCGATCTATACAGTGTTGTATTATACTCAGGAGACCGTTAAGGACCCTCGACCTCGTGGTTGTATTTTTTGTTCATTACACGAGATAAAAAAATGACATCCATGAGTTTTGATGTTTATTCTAAGATCATGATTGTGTCTTTTTCACCAACTACTGATCATGATGGTTTAGATAAAGTTGATGATTTGAAGTTCTTGAGGAAGGAGAAGACAAACATTTCCCACACCAGAGGAATACTTGTTGGATGTGCTGAAGCTGGAAAAACTACACTGTTGAAGAGATTAAGAGGGCAACATCACAATATCAGTGAAGTTACAAAGTCAACCAGGGGTCTGTCTGGAAGTCCATCAACATCTCTTCATTGTTAAAGATGGAATTTTAGAAGGTAAATTAATTTCTGAATTATATACACGAGACAAATAAAAAAAAATCTCCTTATTCCTGCAAAATTTTTTAAGCTCAACTGAGCTAATCATGAAAGCTCAAGTGGGTTTTTCTGATCAGTTGATGTCTGCCGTTTGTCCGTCTGTATATCTGTCTAGCTGGCCGTCCATAGGGAAAATTTTAACATTTTTAACTTCTACACAAAAAAAAAAAACATTGGACCAATTTTAACCGACGTAGGTACATTTATAAATCATTCCTGGGTAGAGGGAATTCTAAATAATTAAAATAAACGGTCAAACCCCCGTCCAATAGGGAGATAATCAGGAAAAGATAAAGATAGGGTGGGGCCATTAAACAATCTTTTCAAGAAGTGAAGAAAAGCTGAAACTTACCAGGAAGCTATCTGAGGTACTGTAAATTCATATTCTAATTTGTTCAAATCATGGCTCTGGAAGTAAGGCGAAGTCACAATATATATAGGGGATCAAAGTTTTACATTAAAATATAAAAAGGAAACATACGAGAGATGGCCGTAAATTTCGTGGACAAGCCGGTGTAAAGACAAATAATGACCCCCCATCGAATAATGAC